AAAAAAAAGTAAAAAAAAAAAAAAAAAAAAAAAAAAAAAAAAACATTACAGATCTTTCACATCCTACCGAACAACTGGTCCTCTGTTTATAGCTGGGAAAAGTTTTTCACCTCCATCATTATTTAAGCCACGGCGTTGTGGTACATCAACGCCATTTTCACCATCATAATCATCATAGAGGAAGGATTGTCGTTGAACTCGTCTCGTTCTTGGCAATTTTGTACCTTTGAACTCAGGATTTTGTTTCGACTCATTTTCAGCCATACGTCTCTCCTCAACTTTTTGACGTAATCGAGGAGAAATCAAATTAAGATGATCTTCATAGTCATTTGTTACATCGGATTTTTTTATATTAGTAGGGTTTATACGATGCTGACCATTCGTATTTTCACTTCCAGTTATGATCTTTCCGTTTACTCCCCCAGTGGTTGTGCCACTGACATCACTTCGAGTAGAGTTTAAACTTCTCCTCATAGATTCTCTGCGGTTCCTTATAGGATGGGGGGCCAATGACCCTGAAGAATTGGGATTAGGCACATGACACATACGTGTTACAGATTCTCTGCGATTCTGTGCCATTGAGGAACGATGATTCGGTCGTCTGTAGGTTTGTCGTGGAAAATTCTCTTTCGGCATCGCATCTGAGTGTCCTGACAGACCTGAGTGTTTTTCTGCTCCAGCACTAGAAGTGTTGCGAGGCATAATAGGGTCTTTATTCGTTCTCTCTTGAAAAAGCGATCGCGTTTCAGTTGGATGCGGGGAAGCATCAACTGTATCATTCAAAGTGCTACCAGGTAGTGTAAAATCAGGTATTAGAAGGCTTGGTAGAGTTGCACATTTATTTACCTTTCCCCCTACCTTAGGAGGTTTGCGATCATGACGAGGCAAGGGTGCACGAAGGTCACGTTTGAGAGGACTCCCAGGCAAAAAATCATCTATATCTTCGGAAACTGCAGATGCCTCCTCATGAATGGGAATATCAATACTTTTCTTTGGTTGTACATTATTGGCTTTAGTTAAAGGTTTTGCATCAATATTGGCTTTAGTTAAAGGTTTTGCATCAACGATGCTAAAGCCTCTTCCCAAAAGTGGATCATACCCTGTGCGGCAAAATTCATTCCACATAGTATTAGAATACCTTCTGTCTTCCTTATCTTCCCCCTTCTGTTCAGGCAATTGAGATAACGGTTTAACAATTGCACCTAACGGTTTCTCTTCTTTCTTTCCTTGGCCCACTGCTCCTGTATTTGATATGGGTTTACTGACATTCCCCGTTGTTCCCAAGGCAGTACTGCTCCCTCCGAGGGAAGTTCGACCACCACCTTTAGCACCCGCATTCGTCACTCCATTGGCTGCCAATTTCTTTAACTTTGCCTCTTCCTTCTTCTTTCTCAGCCGTGGGGACATAATAAAGCCATCATCGTCTCCATTAAGTGTGGGGGCCTCCTGAATACCGGAGGTGTGTCGAATGTCCAAGTGGCCAGCTCCAACATCCGGCACGACATCGGCCGGCTTCTGTCGACCCTCCGGGCGCGGCGGTGGAAGACGACAGACACGCATGGTGGGCCCGCGATGGGCCATCGGACTGCCGGGGAGGAAGTCGTCCACGTCCTCCACAATACCATCGTCGCTGTGGTCCATAATAACAAAACAAACAAATGATCAGGAAAAATATACAAAAATAAACGAAAATAATAATAAAGAAGAAAACAATATAAATCCCTGAAGAATATATGTACTAGGTAAGAACTGAAGAAATTTATAATAAAAATGTTATTTCTTCCCTTCTTCCTTTTTGTTCAGCTTCAGAAACAAATCCTTTATATTCCCGGTAATTTGTGCCAAGGAGAAAGACAACCCTTTTCTTTAGGCGACCTAAACCAAAAGAACAGTGAAAAGAAAAAAAAAAAAAAAACACTACCACAGCAGCAAAATCAAAAACAAACATAAAAATACATTATTAGCACCACAAAAATAAAAAAAAAACACCGCACTAAGGGCAACGTTCAGCTGAAACACGGATTCGACAACTTCCTCATCAACGCGTGGGAACAAGGGCGCAAAAGAAAAAAAAAACACCAATGAGAGCAAGAGTAACAGATA